AGCAGCTCTGAGACTGAATGAGACATGATAAATCTTGTTGGCTACAAAGTCCTCATGACTTATTATTATATGCCATCTTTACATATGACATGGAAGAAGATCTATAGTTTGGTTATACAGTCTAAAAGGATTTATAAATTTGACAGATGCCTTTTTCCTGCTCCAATATAGAACAAAAATATCATCTTTAACTGACTTGTGCACATGGCACATTCCATACATGTGTTAATACAGATATATATGTTACTTTAAAAGTTTGTGTGTTTCTTGTAAGTGGATACCAGACATAAAGCAAAAGATACCCAGCCTACAATCCACAACCCCAAAGAAGCTTGAACCCTCTTCCAGAAACAGATGGAAGCAGATGCAGAAATATACAACTAACCAATGGGCCAAGTGCCTGTCCCATCAAAGTGAGAAATGTGTGATAATATGAACAAAGAAGTTAAGACCATGATGGGGAAACCCACAGAATCAGCTGACCCCAGCTAGTGAGAGATCACTGACTCAGGTTTGACAAATGGGGAACCTGTATAAGATCAAACTAGACTCCCTTAATATATGTGACAATGGTGTAACAGGGACAATATATGAGACCACTGGTAATGGGTCCAAGATCTAACACTAATGCACAAACAGACTTAGTGGAGCACATTGTATATGAAGAGATACCTTGTCCAGCCTAGACAGAGGAGTGTGGGAGTGGAGAGGTATCTTGGTCCTGCCTCAACTAGATGATGGGACATACTTAGTAGATTTCCTAGGGGAGTCTTTAACCTCTCTGTGGAGCACATGGGAGGAGAGTGAAGTGGGGGGAATGGGAGGAGGGAGGGGGAACTGGGATTGGAATGTAAAAAATAAATTAATAAAAATAGTGTGTTTTCAGAAAAAAAACCAGACACCAATAAATACAATTAACTCAGGTTATACAGCCTCTCAGAATGCCTCTGTTGCAGTTTCCAAAAAAAACATGCATCTAGAACAACTTCAAAGCTGCTAGCTATGATGGTCCAGCCTCATAAACTACTCCTGCCAAGATTTCAGATAAGCCCTGCGCTTTCCCATTACAAAAAGACTGAACAACAAATCTTACACTTAGTTTTTCCAGGACTTGACCATTATTCCAATTTTCTCAGGGTTCCCTAAAGACACCATTGCCCACAGACAGGCACTAATTGTAAGTATATGCTTTGGAATGGAAGTATTTGTAAAAAATATGACACTCGCATTCCTAAGAGATGGGAAGGGTGGTTTTTTGGTTGTTCAATGGATTATGAATGCTTGTTATTATTCAGAGGTTTGGTTACAAACTGTCAGTGGTCAAGGTCAGGGGAAAATGAAGCAAAGGAGATTGGATTCAAAGATCTTTATCTGAATAGAAAGTGGGGAATCTGGGAATGATGGGATAAAAGGGTAGATTATTGAATCTACTCTTAGACTAGAAAGCAACCACTAGTCTCAAATATTTTACATTGGTATAGATTTTTTGTATACTGATACAAATTTAAGGTTATTTTTGTTGTAATATACTGTATATACGTTTCTACTCTTTTTAAGGCATTGTGTCTATGCAGATCAATTAAAAATGTAATGGCAAGTTCTAGTCCTTGAAAACTATTTAGGATAATAAGCAATTCCGGTTAGTAGTCATCTATAATAATCAAACTTGTAGTGATGTTAGGTATATTTTCAAGGTCAAACAGAGATATATTTTAAATAGATAGATATCTTTAAAAACTACAGAATATGGAATTTAAAATGTTTTAGTAACATGGCTTTCCCATGACAATAAGAAATGTCTGCTCCTGGCAGCATCAATGTACATAAAAAAGATGTTGGACATCAAAGAACCTCCACGTGGAATTTGCTTTTGTTGTGGTAAAGCTAGCCACTGAGCAAGAAACTGCCCTTGCCTCAACTACTGACAGTATGCTGTCCAAATTGAAAAAGCAGTACAGAAAAGAAATTGACTGCCAAACCTTGCCAAGACTAGGTAAGTCAGTCCTTCAAAAATTGTGGCTTCATAGAAGTCTTTCAGATAGTCTGGGCTTGTAGGCCAAAAATGGATGCCCCAAAATTGCAGAGGAACCTTGGGGTGACTGTCTAGGCAGCCAACTATCTCTCATTTATTGTTCTGGAAGTTGTTTGCTCTGAACTTCCTGTAATATTATATTCTTTTTGGGTCTCTGATGGGATTGAAGACTAGATAGTTACACATTTTTCCTTGCTACCAATTTTTTTTAAATGGTGTAAAGTGCATAAGATTGAGATACATTTGAGGTGGGATAATGTTCTTGTTCACTGTAAAGATTTGTCACTCATATTGGCTTAATAAAGCTCTGATTGGCCAGTATTTAGGCAGAAAGTATAGGTGGGATGACCAAACTAGGAGAATTCTGAGAAGAGGAAAGGCAGAGAGACGGTTGCCAGTCAAATGCAGAGGAAGCAAGATGAGAATGCCTCACTGAGAAAAGGTACCAAGCCTCATGGCTAAACATAGATAAGAAATTATGAGTTAATTTAAGTTGTAAGAGCTTGTTAGTAATATGCCTGAGCAATAGGTCAAACAGTTTATAATTGGTATAAGACTCTGTGTGTTTGTTTGGGACCGAATGGCTACAGGATGGGGCAGGACAAAAACTTTCATCAACAGATATTAAATTATTTATCTATGAAAATGGTTTGAGATCTAAAATGATCTAAAACTTTGGATTTACCAAGATAGGATAGATAATAGAGTATTTTCTCCAAATATGCTAAATACATATGGACTGGACAACATAAATGTAATTTTTACCTGAAAATTGTTCTTACTGTACATAGTTTTACTATGCTAGGGTTAAGTCCTTTCCTTTTTATTTAGACAAAAGGGTGTGTGTGTGGACTATTTGTACACGGTGTGAAGATGTGTTGCTGTGATTAGTGTAATAAAAAGCTGAATGGCCAATAGCTAGGCAGGAGGGATAGAGGAATTTTCAGGGGTGGGGAGAGGAACTTGGGATGATTCTAGGCATGTGCAAGAGAGATGCCAATGAGACACAGAGGGAGTCAGATACACAGAATGAAAGAGAGGTAAAAAGCCACTAGGCAAAACATAGATTAACATAAATGGGTTAATTTAAGTTTTAAGAGCTAGTGGGACAAGCCTAAACTAAGGCTGAGCTTTCACTGTTCATAAGTCTCTATGTTGTTTTTCGGGGCTGGCAGTGGAATAGAAAGTCTGACTAAAGGGTGGCAAGAGCTCATTTCTAGTCTAAATATCAAAATTACAAATATATTGGAGTGACTTTTATGAAAGAAAATTTCATGACAAAGGGAACAAAGTGGGCTGTGGACTAGGGTCAGGGAAGCAACCCCACCCAACCTGCTGTGAGTGGCAGCCAAACTCCAAATTGTAGTCTCAGTGTGCATTCATCTGCTTTCTGCTCTGTTTCCATGAACGGTCTTTCATCTGAGTCTTAGCCACCTGATGGCAATTGCTTACCTTAAAGATGGCTTCTGAGGAAGCTTCCGGCTTCCAGCCACTTTCCTCAATGTGCCACAGCAGCGTATCAGGTTGGAGGAAGATGCACCAAATGACTTGGGCACACATTCATTGTAACACAGTGGATCCTGCCTTGCCTAGATTTAGTGTGCTTTTAGCTAAGTCTCTGGGAGCTGTAAAGAAAGCACACTTTCCTATCCAGTCATCCATTTAATCAGGGGGACTTGCCTTCTTCCATCTCCCCGTGCAACTTCCAAATACCCACTCAATTTATCATGCCCTCCAGAGAAGGGGATATAAACTTGTCCCTGGCATTTGAGTATATTTTCTTACAATTAAAAATGAACAAACAGTGACTCAGTTAGTGAAAGGAGATGAGCAAGATGTCAGCTGAAAAGTGACAGGGAAGTGAAAGGGGGTGTTTTGCCTACTTCTTCCATGACTACAAACCTTAGCCCAGAATGTGTGTTTAAAATCTCTACCTTCCATTGTAGAGGAGAAAGAAACAGTATTTCATGCTTTTGTTAAAGTAGCAGGTGGACATATGAGGAATAATGATGGGGAAGTCCATTTTCAATGTGTGGATGACTACTAGCAATCATTTTAATTGTCACCAACATTGGGATAATTCCCACTGTAAGCACTAAGATTTGCTTTTTTTAAAAAAACAGTTTTATCCCAGGAAGGCAAAATTTTATTCTCAAGAAATAAACAATTACAACTCTTTAAAAAAGGTTAGTTGAGATATTTCTAGAAGCTCCTAGAAAGTGGTTCGGCATTTACTAACTACCCTGTTGAGGGGGATGGTCCCTGGAGAAGCCAAGAGAATCTCATTAGGGAGCTTGCATCTGTATTCACAGCTATTCTTAGAAGACAATGCTGGCATTTTTCAAACCCCACAGAGAAAATATCAGCACTCAGAAGTCAGCAACTGAAGCAATCTAGTAGCTAGGAATGGGGAATGGAAGCCTGGATCATGGGAGAAGACCAATTAGAATAATATAAACAATAATATAAATAAATGATTCTAAATTCCCAGAGTATTTAAAAAAATTGAGGATAAAAAATAATGAAGAACCTGAGTTTTAGAAATCTACTGAGATTATACTTATATTCTATGATTTTGGAGCATCACAAGGGGAGGTATTTTTAAAAACAATTTTCTTGGCTTTTGTGTATTTTCATGAAAACAGAAAACTAAGATGTGTTTTTAAAACTCGTTGGTTAACCTGTGAAGTTCATATTCTTTTAAAATTAAGTCTTTCTTAGAAGTACGTTTGAAACATCTTTTTCTTATTTTTTTTTTGTCTGATGATTATTACAAAAGAAAACACAATTTCATGAGCTTTTACTCATTTGGAAGGTACAAGGAACTGCAATGAAAGAGGGTAAGAGAGAGTTATTCAGGGGTTTCAGAGCTCACCAGATTGGAAACATGTGGCTTTTAGCACACGTGGCAGAACACGGCTCTCCACCCAACCTCACCAAAGCTTAATAACATAAGGACTCCACTCACCACAGGAGACGGGGAAAGTGCAATGTTGCCTATTGAAGCCTTCAGCTCATCTACAGTTGCAGCATTCTTAAGGATGTCCTTTGATTGCAATGGTTTAATCTTGATGTTGAATTTCTTGTGTGACTCTTCTTCCTCTTCGGATTCACTTGAAGAATAAAAGTGCTTTCCTTTGGTAGGTAGAACACAGTTAAGGACACTTAGCTCTTTCTTCTGCTGAGAGGTATCAGTGAGGACGAGACAAGAGTTACTACAGGTAGACACAGCAAAGTCACCTTAGATGGCAGGACACCAAAGCAAAATAGAACCCAAGGAGGAAAAGGTTAGGGTTATGAACTCTGAGGAGCACTGGTCACAGACCTACATTTCTTTCTTCTCTCTCTCTCTCTCTCTCTCTCTCTCTCTCTCTCTCTCTCTCTCTCTCTCTCTCTCTCTCTCTCTCGCTTCCTCTCTCTATCCTTCCTTCCTTTCTTTTCTTTCCTGCCTTCCCCCTTTCCCTCTATTTATCCATCCTTTCTTCTTTCCTTCCTTCCCCCTTTTCCTTCTTTCTTTCTCCTTCCTTCGTTTTCCTTCCTTTCTTCCTTTTCCTTCCTTCCTTCCTTTGTGACAGGTGAACTTTGTGTATCACACACAGTCAAACATATGTCTCCACACACTGGAAGGCTACTTTAAGGGGACTGTATAGAGTCTTGAGTGATTATGAGTTGGCACAGTAAGGCAAGGCTGCTTGAGTCTTTACCGGGGGAGTTGGACAGAGAGGATAGTAATGCTCTTTGCCACTCACTGTAAATGACACTGCCATATCAGGGTTCAGCGGGTAAGCCAGGGTCGCAAATGTGCAGGCTGTTTTAGTGTACATTTTCCTCTACCCTGTCGCTATCTCTCTCTCTCTCTCGACTAGATCAAGGCATGCACATGCTCATTAGCCACTGTCTTCTGGGCTAGTTATTCACCTCTGAGGCTAAGAGTAGCTTTGGTTATTTCAGTCCTTGAGACAATATACAAATTTTAAAGTTTAAAAAGAAAGGATATAGCCTGGCTCTTCAGGTCTGATGCTGTAACCTTCTTCATCCAGTTCAGGTGAGTTCTATAAAACACAAATGCACATCATGTATACACATGTACACTTGCATATATGTAACAGTAATGCTTAAAGAATAATTGAGGGGTAGTTGGGGGCACATGAGAAGCTGGAGACTGGAGAGGGAAAGGTGAACATGATGCAAATACAGTATTCCTGTTTCAAATTCTCAAAAAAAAAGGATAAAAATGCATGTTATTTCCCCAAAATGACAGAGAAATTGTTTTCCTTCTAGAATCTTCTACTTAAGAATACAGACAAGTCTCTTATTTTAAGGGACTGAGGATTTAGTTTTGGGGGAGCGAATGCTAAGCAGTCTCTGTTTAAAATTTTGTTCAAGGTATTTGAGGGACCCCAATGCTGTCTCCAAAGAAAGTATTCCAAGAGAACATATCAGCCTTTCCTAAGCCACAGATTGTGCAAAGCAATATGGGCAATTGAAATGCAAACTATTTGCCCGCAGGGAAATTAAAACATGTTCTCTGAGGACAAAATTATAAAGGAAAATAGCACAAGATATCATTGTTAGTTATTAAAAATGAGGAGGCATCGGCTTAGTTTGTAAGAATAAGGGGGGGCTGCTGGAGACTTTCAGTGCAGATAAAGAGGGTGGGGGTGGGGTAACCCAACAGTGGTGGAAAGAGTGTGGGGTGAGAAGCCATGGCAGGAATAGACCCTGTGACTCAGGTGGTGAAGGCCAGAGTAACAAGGATGACAGGATTGGGAAATAAGCTGTACAGTGGGGGTGGGGGCTGGAGATTGGGCAACCGATTACAGATGACTGTGTGCTAGGGTTGGGGTTTTGTCTTGCTAGGGCTGCTGAAATTTCTTAGTCACTGTAAGACACGTTGGGGATGGAGGCTAAGGTGACTGAAGGCAGGAGAAAGGATGACTCACTTAAAATATGTGTATCAACTCAGTCTCCATTGCTAAGACCGTGTGTGACTCAAGTTTTGGTGATGGGATAGGATGAACCAAGGACATTTGGAGAGATTGACTGTCAATTCTTGGTGTTAGGAGGGAAAGGAAGAGGGAAGTTTCAAGAAGAGTTGAAGGTTTCTACCCTCCAGTCCTAGGAGATCAACTGTTAGGTGAAGCTAATGGCAGAGAGCTAACACTTTTAGGGAACAGCTGAGGAAGATAAGTGACAGTGTGCATGTTGGGGTTCATATTTCACATCTTAGTTCCTATTATAAATGTATCACACAGTGTCATTGAATGACATGAAAACCCCATTTGGCAATAATGAGCTCAATAACTAAAAGGGAAACTAAGCACAACCAGATAGCAAGTCAGCATCAGCCTGCCTTGGTCCTTGACTCCCTGTGTTTTCTGGGACTGTATCCTCGGCCAAGATGAAGGAAGGACTGTGTGCATTGCCCTGCTAAAATTGGCATTGGAGGGGCAGCAGTGAGAGATCTCTGATGAAAAAATTATGTAGATAAAAATTGTGTATGATTAGAAATCTGAGGGCAGCGCAGGTGGGTGAACAGGCTGCTCTACCGTGGACAGTAAAGCATATGGTAACGGTGCTAAGAATTATGGGGGGCGGGTTGAGATCTTAGCTGGGATGTATCTTTACTCCATGAGAATCGGCTGTCACTTGACTTGGGAAAAGTTCATACCATGTAGCTGTCTTCATGTAACTCAGTCTCAGCAGTTAATTTATTTGCCTCCACATTCAAAGCTACTTAGAAAGATAATCACCTAGATTTAACAAAAGAATAAGTATTTTTGGATACAGCTGTGGGCTTGGTACGTTCCTGGAATGTGCAAGCAATTATCCCAGAGTCCTTACAACGATGGAACCAGGTAAGCGCTGTACTGACTGATTACTATGGGCCACATAAGCTAGTGCTTGGAGGTGTCAGGTCTTAAAGCCCAGTTTGATAGACTTTAGTGTTGTGAGCCTCACTACATTCTAAACACAGCAGACATTTCCAAATGAAATGTAGTTTTTCCACTTATTTCTATGTCCTCTTAAGTATCTAAGTGCCTCAATTAATTTTAAAGTTGTACATTAAAAAAAAGTTCTTATACTTACATATCTTTCCCAATCAATTTCTGCATAAAATCCATTTGGTGCCCCATTGCTTTTTTTCTGTAATAAATTTGAAAAGAAATTTAGAAGGGAAACATTTGAATGCAAGGGGGAAAAGACCACAATGGGACAAAAACCACTTAAGTCTAATTTGTATTTAGCATGAGCTATCGAAACCCAGCGCTGGAAAGACAGATTAGAGCATCCTACGGTAAAAAGCACATTGGTGTAACGGAGAGGTAAATGCAGTTGCCATGGCAATGAATGAGAAGCCTAGGTACATATTTCACAAGACTGCAAAGCAGGCAGAGGGGTATTCACCGTTAACTGTTCAAATTTACTCAATTACTGATGAACCTGTCCAGTTTACACTGTGGTTTACTTCTCTATATCCTGAGGATTAAAACCATACATATGGATTTTAAATGGAAACCTTTGACTACTGTGCTGCTGACATACAAATAATTCTGATATACCCAAGATATTTCAGCTGAGTCATTAATTGCTTGCATTATTTATGCCACTGTCTCAATTGATAACATATAAATGGAATCAGCTTTACATTAGTTCATTCAGCTCCTAGTCACTAGAAATCATGTTGCTGTTCTTTCCAAGTGGCTCTTCTTACCAAATTAGTGAAACAGAATCTGAAGACTAAAGGTAGGTCTCTCTTTCCATGTGTTCTGTGCCTCTACTAGCACACGCTACTGCAGGAAGAGAGGAAATCAGCATGGCTCTGTTTCCTGCTTATCTAAGTTTTATTTTGGCTCACGGTAGAATTGTGACAAATGAACACAGGTACTTGACCAGGGATGTGGCACCCTCCAGGGTAAAATTAATAAGCTTCCTTATTTTTTTGGACAAAAGCACAAAAAAGGTTAGTGATGAAAAGTCCATTCAAAAACATCCTTGCATTTAGCACACAAAGTGAAGCCAAGTCATTGAGCAACAGCAGACTTCAGAACAATGCATGTGGTGATACATGGGGCTTGAGGATAGGGCCTTTGATTTTTCAATCACAAGTAAGGCCACTGGCATTACAGTGTGGCTGGCAACCATCCACGTCGACAAACAGGAGGGAGCTTTTGCATATGCACAGAGGGTTTCTAGAAAACCCAGGAGAACCATCAACATCCATTAACGTGTACTGAATGTTGCATGGGCAGTCTAAGAACAAGCTGCGGCTCAGTGAGGGATATAGCTCATGGGGCCTAAGTCATGTGCTTTTCTCTCCTGATAGACTATCATTGCATGAGAGTTCACCAGGCCTCATACCCAGGAACCTGGGGCCTACGCTGACCCCTCTCTTTTCCCCATTCTTTACGATATTACTTATATGAGGGCATCATTTCCTCAATGGCAGTTTGCCCAATCTGTCAAAGGTCTTTAAAACCTGCCACTTTAGTTCTGCCTGTGTGCATTACAATGCTCCTGTTGAGAACACAGTCAGCTTAATGTGTCAGTACTGTCTCCTGGAAACAGGCCTGCCTCCTATTTATACGTATGTATAGTTCCTGCTTTACCAACCTGTCTGTTTATGTTTTTAATGCAAGATGCTTCAACTCCTTAGAAGCATATATAACAGCCAAGTTCAACAGAAAATTTGTCACAATAATAGGGAATCAAATAAACTAAATGGATTCTAGAGACACAAACTCATGGATATTGTTATCAGTATAACACTGCCATCAGTTTGCTTTCTAGCTTCTAAACGATTCCTTTGTACAAAGGATTGCTGTTATAAATGAAATTAGGTAAGTTAATGAGTTCACAGTTTGTCTGGTTCTACAGCTTTCTTCTCTGCTAATACTCTCTGTGATTAAAACCCCTCAAATTCAATATATTCTACATGTTTAGATAAATTATATATATGTATATGGTTAGTATAGATGCATTTTTTTTCTTGACAACATATATCCAACACCTGTGTAAAGAATTTACTAAATTTCTAGATTTGGGCCTAGTAAACGTTTCCTTGTTACTATGGCAACCGATGGAAGACTGAAACAAAGAAAAAGAAAACTCTAAGGGAATATTGTTTGTTTATGACAAGCATTTTACAAACAAATACTTAATTCAAATAACAGATTGTAACAATACATTCTTTTTGTCAGATATACAGCTCTACACACACACACACACACACACACACACACACACACACACACCCCTACACGCATGCATGCGAGCGACTTTATTAGAGGAATTGGCAATTTGTTCTCATCCATGCTCATTTACTCTAACAAATACTTTTGTTTCACAAGAGACCAAGTTAAAGGTAAGGCAGGGTTTAACTGGGATTCTTCTGTTAAGCACAAGGGAAAGTAATTCTCGTCTTTAAATACTGAACAAGGCACAACTCATAACTAGTGGCTGTCCCAGTTTTCCATAAAGGACTTCAAAGCAGGGAGAGATGTGGTAAAGAAACACCACTGGACAGTTGGACCTAAGGCTGAAGGGAGCACCAGCTTTTCGCCGACATCTAAATAGTGTTTTTTTTTTTCTCTTGGAATCTGAGTAATACACTTTTGTTTTCCTGTTTTTCTTTTCTAAAATTCAACATCTATCTAGTACAACTTTAATAACCTGTGGATTTGACTGTTTTTGGAGATGACTGATACTCATGGGGATATTCACCTTGATTTAATAGGCATTTTACTTTGGTTATCTTATCATCTGTTTTCAGATAATGTGATGAGCTAGATCAGCGGTTTTCAACCTGAAGGTTGAGACCCATTTGGGGGATGAAGGACCCTTTTGCATGGGGTCCAATATCAGATATCCTGCATATCAGACGTTTATATTATGATTCATAACAGGAGCAGATTTACAGTTATGAAGTGGCAACAAAATAATTTTATGTTTGAGGTTAGTACAACATGAGGAAGTGTATTTAAAAAGGTGCACCATTAGGAAGACTGAGAATCACTGAGTTAAATCAGTGACTGTAGTAATTATTTTTCTCAATTGCACATTCAACAAAGTTATATGTTTCCACTGTGAATGCCCACATTTTTGGTGAGGTCAGCTTACAACTACACAATCATCTTAAAAGTATGTGATGTACTGTCAAAATATTCTCTTCTGCTAAGTAGACTTAAATCATTTTGTAAACAATCTTACAAGACAGCAGTGATCATTGGAACTCCCTGTAAACATGAAAATACTCTCTGTGTTGTACTGTACATAGCCACTGAATAGGAATGGCTATACAGTACTTGAAAGCAAGTACAACTAAGGGGCTGAATTTTAATTAAACAGCTTTCTAGAGTGATACAATTGTAGTTAATGCACAGTCTGGCCCAAGATCAGCATCCTTAACTCTAGATTTCTTGGTTCAGGTCACTGGTTTCCACAAGGCAGGGTCCTGCCAAACTCCAGATATTATTGCTATAGATGGCACTTACTTTACCAAGAGCAATCCAACTTAATTTGCACATTGACATATTATAGTACATCATCTTTACAGACAACAGATTCTTTTAAAAACCTGAAAAGCTGAAATCCCTGTCCTTTGTCTCAGACTAAAGACAATGCAAGCTTTAAAAGAATAGCTAAATTTCAGCCTGTGTGGTTGATTTAAAACCTGGACCAGGGTAATCAAGATGTAATTTGTAGTTACCTTGTTAAATAATTAGTGCTATTGTGCTTCCCAGATTTGAGGTGGGGATTTTACTCACTGTTTCTACAACCCCTCGGAAATTTGAAACTAAAGTCTGTGTCCTTACCGAAGCCTTCTTGCCTCCTTCACGCGCACACTCTGCTTTGCTATGGTAGGGTGGCTCGTGTGGGCTGGGCTGCTGGAATTGATTGTGTTCATGTAGAAAAAAGTTGTTAAAGGATCTGTTTGTTCTTCAAGACACATATAAAGAATCACAGGGAGTCAGCAAACATATCACAGTAGAGACAACCTCTAGACCAAATTGTGCGGCCTGCCAATCATGGCAGGGTTCTGTAAGCAAAGAGCAGACTTCGGGCCCATAATGAGGCTCTATTCAGCAGGCCAGGTTGGCTAAGCCAAGAGAGGAAGGGAGAAGGCGGAAGATGGGCTGGGGCACCAGGGGCCATTTGGATCCCCCTTCAGGTGGCACTTGGCCTATAAATAAAGAACAGACACAAAGACAGTACGGAAAGGGACTGGACGATTCCTGACTGCATTTCTACTCTATGGATGAAAACCGTAGCTCCTCTCTTTTCCTCTTATTGGAGCCTTCCAAAAGGCCAACAGAGACCTATAGAGCACACAGAGGACAGTTCCTGACCTGTGCCCTTTCCTGGCTGCATGTTTAGGGACAAGCAGAAGAGCTCTCACAGCCAGGACTCTGACCCTGGTACCCCAGCGTATTTGTGGAGGAGGATTGGAACTGCTTAGGGAAAGTTCTGGGCTACCCTGCACCAATTAGAGTTTGTCTCTGGGTTAGAATGCATAGTTACACACAGCTATCTGAGGTCTAGACATTGTGACAAACAGCTCTGCCCATGATGGATTGGTATACACTCAGCCGGTGAGCAGCAAGACACACCCACCTTCACACCATGCAGCCTTGTCATGCAGCCTCATCAGTGATGGGCTCCATCAGGCACTGAGAAACTGAAATTAAGTTTCAGTTTGGCACAGGCTCTTTGGGTACCAATTTCTTTAGAAGCACTAGCTAAGAACACCGGTAGCTGGCAGAATCATATTAGTGAAAGTGCAAACACCAATCCCAGACCTTGAAAAGGCAGCCAGCAATCTGGAAGCTATCTCAACCATATCAAAGTGGTTACAGTCCATAGATCCAAGGTCTTAAAAAACTCATTTGAGTTTAGAAGAAATTCAGGCTGCGATTTCTACAGACCAATAATAGAGATATTCACTCTAGTCCACAGTGTTGGGTCTCAGAATTTGGTGGCAAAGTATTTGGGAGAAATTTGAACATTTTCCAATAGAACTTGTAACTGACTTATAATTTCCAATTATCCATTATTGGATCTCTCTCTCTCTCTCTTCTCTCTCTCTCTCTCTCTCTCTCTCTCTCTCTCTCTCTCTCTCTCTCTCTTGAGAAAACACACTTATTTTGAATGTGGTCTTTTCCAGAATAGGTCTTGGTTATTTCTGGAAGAAATGAAATTAAATAACTCATCTTTCTTATGAACACATCCTTATAGCATTTCTAACTAATAATGGAGAGTACCTAACTGCTAGTAAGTGATTTTACAGGACTTGGGATGGTGCAAGGAAGGCTCAGGGAGACCTGAAAGGCATTGGGCCCAAGCCTGCAGCACATGTCTATGGTCATCTTCAACATCAGACACCATGACACATAATCCAGCAGATGTTGAAATTGGGGCTCCTCAGAAGAGCAGAGACCAGAGAGGTAGCAACAGGGCTTCAGAGACAATGAGCAGGGGCTTAGAGAAAGGGAAAAAAAGACAAGACTGAGAGAGTGGGCAAGCAAGAAAAGCCAGGAGTAGCAATCCAGTGAGGGCAGAGGAGATGACAGAGCCTGGCGAAAGCATGGACAGAAAGACCGAAGGACCCAGGGAAAGGACCAAGCCGGAAGCAAAGAGAGGACACAGAAAGCCGAGAGTACCTGAGACAGAGTTAAGGAGAGGGCTCTGAGCCAGAAGCAAGAGGTGAGGAGAAGCTGAGTCTTCTGGGCCTTTTTTTTCCCCTGCTGAATAGAGCCTTGATTATAGAGGTCCCCAAAGTCTGATCAATTTCATTCTTTTTTTTTAAAGAAACATTTCACAGCAAGAATCACATGAATTCAAAAGGCCCCCCAAAGCTGAAAACTCTTAAGTCAAATGCAGGAGGAAAACTCCTGCTATGGCTGCGATCAGCACCCTATTAGGTAGAATAGTATAAGGAGTAGTTTTTCAATGTATATATTTTTAACCGCTGGATTTATTTTAGTTCTCACTCTGGCCCTGGGAGCATAATGTGTGTCCATTTTCCCCTCAATAACAGCTGTTCTTTTGAACCTTCTGAATAGGGCAGCTGATTAGATGGGAAGGAAGTCATTTCAGAAGCCAGGGTAGACTCTAGCGTGGATCAGTCCAAGCTGGCATACCCCAGACCACTTTAAAAACCAAGAAATCTGGCAGCCAGCTAGGAGTCACTTCCTGCTAAACTGAAACCCGGTGGATGCATTTTTCTCCTGCAGGCTGTAAATTCAGGCATAAATAGTTTCAACACCGCTCCCTATTTCCGAATTTAATAGAGAAAACTTATTTGCAGCCCAGCTACTCAAGGGGGAAGTTTCCTTCAGTTTTATTGGGAAGCTGCTCCTTCCTCCACAACTGTAGTGCCGCTGGAGAAGATTTCCCCAATAATGAGTTTTATGCCACCAAACTAGAGATGAACTAGGAGTCGACGGGAGCAGTCCCTGTGTAAACTGTCTGGCTTTTGATCTGCCATCTCTGTGGCTAGTTTGCTTATGTGCTCTGGAGCTGGGTTTTAGGTTAGTGCAAATATATTAAATCTCACTTGCTCTGGGGCTGGGTTTTAGGTGAACACACTTTATAAAGTCTAACTTGACGATGACCACATTTATATCTCATGCACGTTTACTAGAGAGAATTAAAATAATTGGGGTTTTGAAAAGTCCTACAAGGGGAGAGGGAAGGAGGGAGGAAGGGGGAGGAGGAGGGAGAAACTAGCCTTTAGGAAATTTAAGTATAGCATACATTGAGGTGCAAACCCACTAAAAATGGTCATTTAAATACTTACCATCCCATCTCGATCTGGAGAGCCTCTGTAACAGAAAAGAAATTGATAGCCATTATGAAAAGGAGTCATTCCTGCCCCAGTGATTAAAGAACTGTTGTCTTCAGTTACCCTGCATTCTCACTACAGTGACCCTGCAAAGGAAACAAAACCTACCACCCTGAGTGACATCTGAGGGTGGGGCGGGCACATGTTTGTCAGGCAGGGAAACTGTCACCAAGAACTGAAGTCCAAAGGCACAAACCAGCAGTGCTGGACCACGCTCCACATAGTTCATAGGAGTCTGGCCCGTCCTTCTTAAGGATTTGTTTTATTTTAATTATGTGTTTACATGCATGACTGTGTGTGCACAGTTGCACGTGTGAATGCAGGTGCCTGCCGGTAGAGGCAGAGAGTGTCAGATCCCCTGGGGCTGCAGTCACAGACAGTTGTGAGCTCCCTGACATTAGAGCTGGAACTGAATTTGAGTCCTCTGCAAGGGTATACTGTCTCAGCTTCTGAGCCAGCTCTCCAGTCCCCTTGGCCCACTCTTGCAAACTCTACTTAAAGGGTCAGTCATAAAGCAAGTACACAGACACATGTATACTCCTTTAGATATCCCCTGTGAGTGATCCTGAATTGTCTTATGTGAGGTAAAGATTTTTTTTTTCTGGTAGTTTTCAACCAGTTTGAGAATCTGTACCTTCTTCCGCATTTCTGTATTTGTGATGGAAGTTGGAATTGTGCTAAGTGGCGCCCTCTGCTGCTGAATCCTAGGGTAGCGTTTTCAGGGTGGTGCCAAGCTGTGATGCTCAAGGGCTTCAGAGCCTGGGTCTTCGGTTTTCTGTCTCTGAGGAGGTGTGTTAGAGTGGCCTGATTTCTCACGTGCTTCCTGTTTCTTTGGTCTGTTTCATACATTTGTTGGGATCTTTGTGTACCCCACCTTTTATTTTGTTCTTTTTCACTTTGTTTTTTGTTGTACTTTATGGGCGTCTTCTGAGCTGTTCCTGCTTGGATTCTCCCTCATTACTATTTTGGGGGGAAGCAAACTGCATGTACTGAAATGATGATTTACAGCAATCTTGGTATTCATACAGAGCAAAAAAATAAAACAAACAAACAAACAAACAAACAAAAACCCGGAACACTCCTGTCCCCAATAAGGTTCCGAGACAGGGACAGGAGGACACTTTCAGAGATATCGTAGCTTATAGTTTTAGGGCTACAGGAATTCATAGTTAAGCCGTAAAAGCAAAGATGTGGAGGGAGTGATGTACGAAAGAAACCAATGTTGTGTGGGCTACAAGTGTGGGGAGTAATACAGGAAATACTAAAGAAGAGTCCCAGGAAGGAGAACAGACGGGAAAGCCTGTCCAGGTAGGATTTAGACTAACAGGAACTAATGAGTGGTGATAAATGTGAATTAAAATAAAATACCAAAGAAAAATAAAACGATGCAGGAAATCTATCACCAACCAGCTCGTACCCAGGTGGGATGCTGTGGCTGCCCCCACCCCTCGACAGACTGTTCTTCCTTGTAGCTGATGCTCTCAGCGATGCAAACATGCTCCATGTGCTCCCTCGCTGAGGTGGCTTCTGTACTGGACACAGTTTCCCGTTGGAATTTCCTAATGGGAGACACCAGCTATCCAATTACAGCCCTGTCTGGCCTGCTGGGGAGCCTACTTTCCATTCAGGGCATTCAGTGTTTAGTAGGGGACATGGGGTGCATGCCTAGGCTTGTGTTTACCGCCGCTGCTGGGCATTCTCTTCCATGGAGGATCCAGACCTTTTCCCTGGTCAATGACCCGTAATACGCGAGAATACATGCAGGAACTGGGCAAGACTACCTGGTTCAGCACAGTTTTTGTGTTTGCCATGCTGTTGCTCATCTTGGCAGAGGTGGGGTGCTGCCTTCCATACGTTCCGCAGGCCGGTCACCTGTGGTGCTTGTGGGAGGTTTCATCCTTAGGCTCCCGTTGTTTCACACTTCTGATGGAGCTCCCACAGTCAGCACTGTCCTGGGCTGTCTTCAGCCACAGTGTACTTAGTTTTCCGCCATGACTTTGCTTCCCATCTATTCTATCTTCAACTTGCTGGTCTCAGGTGGCTGTGCCAAGCAGCGCATGCATTTGATGTGTTACTGACCCCAGGGCAGTTGCGGCGGCGGTTCTGTGTGTCTGGGCGCTGGTTGGTGGCTGCTCCAGGCTGCTTCCCTATTGGAGGACTGTGTGGATCTTTCCAGGCTTTGCTCTTCTTCAGTTCACACTCTGCAGCCGTCCTCCTACTCCTTCTGTGAGTTTCTCATGTTACTCTGTTCTTTCTCAGGAACAGACGGACTCTTCTCCTTCACGGGGCCACACAGAGGTAGCTTTTAATTCGCCGTTTTTTGTTTGTTTGTTTTTGCACAATGCCAGATTTATAGAGAATTCTGCAAGAGAACCAACGCCTTGGACCTGTATTCCATTTTAATAAGTTTTTCCTTCTTTAAGTGACAGATCCATTGTGTTGGATGTGTTCTATTTTAAACCTTGTCATTCATCATGGAAGTGTGACCTCTAGTTTTAAAGGTTTGTTTCATGTAACTACTGCCATTCTTCTTTGACTCTTTATCTGGGTGACAATCTTTCCCATCTCTGCCTTTTCTATAGCAGGGTTCTGTTCCCAGCCTTGTTTGTTTCTTCATGGCCTTCAGCAAGTGACTAACCTCACCTGGCACTGGCTTTTCTTCTCTAGAAGTGAGATGCTGCTACTAACCTTATTGAATTATGTGAAAATGAAGAGGGATGCCAGCGCAGTCCAATATTCTGCCCTTCCTCTCTCTATCAGCCACTGTAAGGATGATCAAATCAGGAAGCTCTGGATCTTAAACCCACTCTCTCTGAGGAGGTTCAATCAGCTGAAGTTGATGATGGCTGCTAAGCTAGCAGGTTGCTTAGCAACCCTGCACCAGTTGCAGCAATCCTGGAAAAGGTTGGCATCAACAAGGTCTCACTGACTGCAGACTGACATAGGCATTAGCTGAAACAAACCGCCAGAGTGCTCTGCTAACCCCTTTGTGTTTATGATTCCTTTTCCAAGAATGATACGTGATCCAATTAGAGAGCAGGGGCTCATAAGAAAGAAAAGCTTTCCCAAGACAATGTGTCCTTTAACCATCACTGTTGGGGGAACCAGTTTATACTTAAGTAATTTGGCAATCAGATGAGAAGTTAAGGAAAGGCGCTTGGGATTCTATGAAGTAATGGCTCATTAGAAGACCGCAGAGAGACACTGGGCATCTGAGGCCAAGCCATGAGGAATAACTTACTTTCATAGACTTCTTCTCAATGGAAAAGAAGTGCTTTGGCTACATGCAAATTAGCCTAGCTTGCCCTGAGGCTCATTTAGCATCCCCCCAGCCCCCCCATGTCTATGCATGAGAGAGGTTTTTTTATGAGACAGAACAGTTATAAAATTTATTTCAGAATTATGGTAACATTTTTCACGTTAAAGATGAAAGGACTTCCCTTCAGTGGTGACAAACAATATATTGTCATAGACACTACCTGAAAGTCCTTTACTTAGTTTCAAGATCAATTATTCCAATTAACAGTAGAGAACCTAAATTTACAATTTATTGTTTAATTTGTTGACATATTATTTGTACATATGTCTGAGGTATAACTGATACTTTGGTTCGTAGATACTTGATAAACTAGTAATTACTGAATTCATTGTCTTAAACTTTTTTTCTTGTTTTTGTTATTTATTTTTAAATTTAAATTAGAAACAAGGTTGCTTCACAAGTCAGTTCCAGGTCCCTCTCCCTTTCCCTCCCCTCCTCCCGTGCCCTTCCCCCAGCCCCTCCAATACCCCCTCATTTCCCCAGAGAGGGTGAAGCCCTCCTTGGGGGTGTCCATAGTCTGTCGTTTCATCCAGGGCAGGGCCTAGACCCTCCCCCATGAGTTCAGGGTGAGAGTGCATCTCACATTGTTGGATGGGAGTCCAAAGTCCATTTGTATACTCGGAATAAATACTGATCTACTGCCTAAGGCGAAAAAATCTTTTTAGCCTTTTTCAGACACCTCAGATCCCTGGTACGGATATGGAGAGGACTTCACAGCAACACACTTGGCTTCTGCTGTGCTGTTCTTCTGAGATGCTTCCAGCAATGTCCCACGTGACACATGGCACAATGTCAGAGTTGCCAGATGTGGCTGACAGCCTCACCAGTTCAGGGTTTGACCTTCTAGGGAGTGTGGATTTCACCTAGTGGAAAGCTCAGTGTCACAGTCGAGGAAGCTGAGGCCAAGGAAATGCCTGCGTAATTTCCAAGGTCTTAAGACTCATGGCTGAACTGAGGCAAGAATACAGGTATTCATAAGAGAGTTAGGCATTCATTTTGGTGGTTAATATTTAGAAAATGGCGAATTTATCAAGAAGCAATGTTAAATTATTTGATGCTCAGAAAAAAATATTCCTAACTTAATCATTGACCAGTGAACTTCATGTGTGATGTTACTTGTACAGTTTGAAAACACATCTAAGATTTTGTGTCAGGGCCAGCTTCTGAATGAACATTCAATATGGTTAAATAAGAACACAGTGGAATGAACATGGTGCATTACTAACACTCTCCAGGGTCTACTGCGGCACACAGGGAATTCATCTGCATCAAAGCATCCCCATAGTTGTTTTGGGCATTGGTTTCTTACTGAGGTTCCTGTCCATTCCATTGGTTTTACAGTTCTACCTGCCCAATCCTGGAACCTCAAGTAAGATCTTTGGTTGTCATCTAGGGCATGTTTGTGGGTTGGGCTAGGGTGAATCTACCTGCACAGATATTAAATTATTCCCTTGGGTCACATTATGCAGATAACTCCAGAAGTGTACCTGCGTGTTTTTAACCTCTACAAATGGAATAACCACATTTTTTGCCTCTCTCAGAGGAAGTAACATATTAGATATGAGGCAGTAAAAAGTTCATGCTAAAAAACTGAACCCATGATGAAAAGTCTCTACCCTCCAAGAACACGAATCCAAGAATAATTTGTGCTGAACAGTGACAGTTGACCCGGAAATGGGGAAAGCACAGGAAAACAAACCCATGCTATCCAGAGACACTTTGGGGCGCTCTTTCAGCATCAACCACAGCAGTGTCTTAGACAGAAGCTCGCCCAGAGAGGCAAACTCTGAAGTACGTACGTAGAGTCAGTGTCTTTCTCTTTCTTCCGTATTCCAAAGGCCTTCCTTGTGCGTTTTTTCAGTCCTGTGGAAAAATGGGAAAGGGTCAGGAAGCAGTCAGCAGCACAGGGGAATGAATCCTGGAAGGTGCAGCCAGACCCGGTAGACTCTATCATCAACACTACCGTGCACACTACTCCAGAGACAGAGGTTGGGCGACTTCAAATCCAGTTCCCCTTCTTTGCTACAGGGTGAATTCAAGATCAGTCTGGGCAACTTTCTGGGACCCTGTCTTAAAGATTTTTTCTTCTAAAAAGGTAAAGAAAAAGAAAAAGGAAAAGGAAAGGATTATGGATTTTCAGGATACGGTGCAGTGGTTGAACACCTGCCTAGCCCAGACCAGGCTCTAGATCAGGGCTTGTCAACCTTCCTAATGCTGCGGCCCTTTAACACAGTTCCTCATGTTGTAGTGACCCCAACCATAACATATCTCATTGTTACCTCATGCCTGTCATTTTGCTACTGTTACGAATTGTAATATAAATATCTGTGTTTTCTGATGGTCTTAGGTAACTCCTGTGAAGGGTCATTTGACCCTCCCACCCCCCAAGGAGTTGAAACCCACAGGGGTTCAATCACCAGTCCTGAAAAGAAAAGGGAAAGTTGTTGCATAGCTGTTAAATTTGCATATTCAGAAAGCAGTGTCAGCATATGTATATGCATGTGAATATGTGAATATGATTCATTATTGAAGTTTCAACAGGTGTTTATGAGGGCCTCAGCAGGAGGAGTTCTTAGACTCATAAGCAGCATAAGGATGCTGTAAACTGGGAAAGATCACAGGCTTTTCTTAGATTACAGTTATTCATCAGTAAGATCAAGACTTTGCCAAGAAACTGAATCACAGATTTAGAATAGCCATTTCCAGGGTGGATCAGTACTTGAGACTGGCTAATTCTAAAATGCAGAGATGAGCCATACTAGGAGAAGCTGTGCACAGGCCTCTCCCCATCTCTCGTCCTGCATTCCCATTTCATCTTTAGCATCATGGCTCGGCTGTATTATTAGCTATTCTCTAAGCACACCCCAACACTGGTTCTCCAGCATCTCTCCATAGGACTTTCATCTCTGGTTGAAATTCACTGCTTGTTTTGTCAACACTCAAAATTTCAATTCATCCTTGAAGGTAGGGTTCCAATGCTACAGGCTGATAAGACCTATCAATCTTTGTTGGTGTTTTGTTTGTTATTTTCAAGACAGGGTTTCTCTGTGTAGCTTTGAAGCTTGTCCTGGAACTTTCTCAGTTGACCAGGCTGGCCTCGAATTCACAGAGATCCACCTGCCTCTACCTCCGGAGTGTTGGGATTAAGGTGTGTCCCACCACTGCCCAACAAGACCTATCAGTCTTACTTTTGATGCTTTTGTATATATTAATATATTAGAGGTGCCACTCAGCAGCTATTTCAGATTCTCTGATGGCTGTGAGCTTTCTTAGCCTAGATGCCAGGGTCTCCCAGTTTGCATGTGTGCCCCCTCCCCTCTGCCTGCCCATTTTGCAGAGGTACCAGATGACATTTACTGATTAGAGTTCCAAGAATACACCATCAAGGCAGAAGTGGGGCAAGAAGACTTCTTTCTTCCATGCTTAGGAACCAAGCCAACTTTAGTCTTCTGGTCTCACTCCATCAAGGGCCTGTTGAGACCGCTGGCATGTTCCACAGGTGTGCACGTGGCTGGGCTTCCTTATGTTAGTTAGCAAGTGCTGTTTTCCCATAGCATACGCTTGTGTAATCAGAACTGTAGGTAAAGTTGTATTGAGAGATGGGAACTAAAAACAAATCTGATATTGCTGGTAAGGGTGGTTTATCCCTATTCTCTCAGCAGCTGTGAGGCTGAGACAGGGGGATTGCTGAAAGTTTGAAGCCAGCCTGGACTACAGAGTGAGACCCTTTCTCAAAAACAAAACAAAACAAAAAAAACCCAAACCAATCACACAAACAATATATGGTCACTGATGCTGCAGGATTTGTTTGGCAGGAAGTACAAGCAGAAGAATAGACAGAATCGGGCATTTGCTATCATCTTTCTCAAGGCCCATGAGTCAGCTGAGGCTCTGAGTCACTCATTAGTTGTCTCTAAGGATACTATTCAAATATAGTTTCCAAAGTGTCTCAGTGCAGCTCGATTTTGTGTTTAATATTCATTCTGTTTAAGATGTTTAGATCTTTAAAATGTCAATGCTCTTTTTAAAAACCATTTCCCACACGAAACTATTCTCCATTAGTCTCCACATAATGAGTTTATAGGGAAACTGGCTGACATTTCAAGCTATTCATAATATTTAGGAATGCTTGCCCCCATCCCTTTCCATTTTCAATTCTCTTTGTTAAAATTTCTTTCTTCTCTATTCTGTCTTATTCCCCCATAGGGACAAATACCATAGTTACATAATCATCATTTTCTTCTTACCATTTACCCCAGGTTTCAGCTTCTTGCTGCTTCCAATTTAGCTTTAGGTTCACAATGATTGCTGTACTCATGAATCACTACTGATGACTTTAGAAACACATCACAAAACCATTACTAACTTGTATTTTCAAGTTCTTTATTCTGGTAACTTTACTTAAAAGAGACAGCACATCCTCTCAAACAGATCAGGAAGTATCCACAACTTTCAGATTCCACACTGTCACACCCTGGACTAACACTTTTGGACAACAGCCAATGTGAACAAGGTCATGAATGTCCTGAGTTCTCTATTTTCCAGGAAAAAGTGCACAGGCCCAGAGTTGGGAAACATATAGGCCATCCCAGCATCGTTTCTGGCTGCACAGCTTGCTGTTGCTTCTGTTCTCTTTGGGTTTCAGTCTTCAGTTTATAACAAGCAACAATAAAAGCTGAAGGAATTGCACACTCATAAATCCTATGCCAACCTGGAACTTTAGTGTGACTGAGAGTCATGTTTCTAACACACAGAATGCATGTGCACATGGATTATAAAAAGGAACACATAAACAGGTGACATTTCGAAAACAGGTCATATTGTCAAATGAACATTAAAACGAGGGCCTGTCTGTGACAAGTGTAAAGACTTGAGAAGACGGGGAATGTGCAAAGATTAAAGCAACAAAAATATGAAGTGTAAGTTATTTATATCTTAATGAATTGTTTTTAAAGATCCAATCAGAAATAATACTACCCCTGCTAAACACGAGGTGCAGTCGGTCATGCCTTTTGAGAACTTACCAAAAGATATTTTGGAAAAGTCTTCTAGGAGAAATGAGACGGCTCAGCATGTAGAGACTTTTGCCTTGCACCCTGAGTTCCATGCACAGAACCCATGTTGAGGTAGAAGAGAACTGACTACACACAGTCTTCTACCCCGACCCAGCCCCATCGTAACAGAAGGGAGAAATCATTCTCCAGGATATTATCGGAATATCAAGGTAAAGACATTTTGTGTGTGCTCAAGAAACACAGGGGCTAGCAAGATGGCTCAGAGGGTAAAGGAGCTTGCTGCCAATTCTCACAACCTGAGTTTGATCCCTGGAACCCACGTGGCAGAAGGAAAATCGTAGCTCCCACAAGCTGTCCTCTCATTCTAACACATGTACTTTTGGAATGCATGCACTCCTACCCATTCCCATAAAAACGAATGAATAAATGTGAAAGAATATTACAAGAAACTAATGATGTTCCAATTCTGACTTCATAATACCAAAACAGTCTTAAAGCTAATTTCCAAATAGGATTGTTTTGGGTATAGGGCATGGATTTGGGTCAATTATCCTTTATTAAGGAAAGGAGAGCACAAAACTTCTATTTTAAAGAAATGCCCCTCTCCAGGTGCCTGAACTGGCCTTCCCCTGTAATCAGATTGGTAACTACCCTAATTGTCATCATGGAGACTTCATCCAGTGCCTGCTAGAAGCAGATTCAGAGATCCACAAACAAGCACTGGGCCACGCTCTGGGAGCCCAGTTGAAAAGAGGGCGGAGGGATTATATGAGCAGGGGTGGGTGGGTGTCAAGATCCCTGAATGGCAAATCTACACAGATAGCTGACCTGAGCTTGTGGGAGCAGACAGACACTGGACAGACAGCTAGGGAGCCAGCATGGAACACACCTAGGTCCTCTGCATCTGAGTGACAGTTGGGTATCTTGGTCTTTTGTGGTACCCCTAACAGTAGAACCAGGACCTGTGTCTGCCCCTGGTGCATGAGCTGGCTCTTTGGAACCCATTCCCTAAGGTGGGGTGCCTTGCTCAGCCTTGATGCAGGGGGGAGGAACTTGGTGCTGCCTCAGCTTGATATGCCATGATTTGTTGACTCATGACTCCATGGCCTTACAGCTTCTGAATGGAGATGGAAGAGGAGTGGATTGGGGGAGGGTGGTTAGAAGAGGGGGGGGAGAGAATGGGAGGAGAGAAGGGAGGGGAAACTGATGAGTATGTAAAATAAATTGAAAAAAGAAAAGGGAAAGAAAGAAATGCTCCTCTCCAAATGCTGAGGTCCACAGCAAGAGGATTTCCTGCTGTGAAGACTCAGGGTGAGCTGTGGAATGGAGGCCACCTTTATGGGCAGCTCCAGAACTGTTGTCTTGACTGAACTGTGGTGAGTTGGCCTGTGCCCCTCCGTCTAACTTATGCCCCATTAGCTTCCTTTGGTGTCTTGAGATAAGCCAGTCAAGTTTTGAAGGAATGATATTTAAAAAAAGACCCCCTCACTTCCCCCAAGACAGGGGTTCTCCTTGTAACAGCCCTGGCTGTCTTGAAACTCAATTTGTAGATCAGGCTGGCCTCAGAATCACAGAGATATACCTGCCTCTGCCTCCTGAGTTCGGGAATTAAAAGAGTATGACACCGGGTCTGGCTAAAAATAGACTTTTAGAAAGAGGTTAGAAAGCTTATCTCAATTTAGCCAATTCTGAGTGTGATGCTATTGAACAACTGAGCAGAGCAATAGATACAGAATTTTTTAAATTACTTTAATTTTAAATAGCTTGCTTCACATGTCAATCCCAGTTCCCTCTCCCTCCCCTCCTCCCACACTCCCCCAACATCCCCCCAGCCTCCTACCATATCCC